GACGAGGATAGACCTCCCCTTCCTGCAGGAAGGACAATCCCTCCTGGCACAAAGGGACTTCCCCAGCTCAGCTGCCACCCCTCTTGGAAGAGAGAGCTTTGCCTGCCTCCCTCACCTCAGCCCTTCCCCAGCCCCATGTACCAGCAGGCTGGGTCAAGTGGAGACTTACGCCCTGGAGGGTCTTGCACAGCAGGAAGGAGCTCTGGTCTGTGTGGTGCTTCTGGTGCCTTAGCTGCCACCCCGACAGACTGTCAGCCTACCTCAGTTTCCCTTACTCCACTCATGAAGGGAGAGGCCTCTCATGCATGCTAAAGGTGGGCTTCATATCCCAAGCCCTGGCTGTGTCCTCTCCAGACAAGATTCACCCTCTTGTCAGCTTGAATCTCCAGGAAGGGCAGGCCTAGACAGCTGCCAGTGCAGGGGGAACCCAGCAGCTGGGGGTGAGGAGCTGTCCGGAACCCCAGATTTTGTGGACAGTGCTACCCAGGAGGGTGGGGTCAGGACAGCTGATTGCCTGAAGCCAAGGCAAGGGCATGAAACTTCTAGCGGCAGGACTGGCTAGCAGCACTGAACTAGGGTTGGAGTGGATGGACTGGTTTTAGGGGACTGTTTTTTCAGCTGGTATGAAGGGGTGGAAGTATGCACGGCCTCCTTCCTGTGGCCTTTATGGGAAAAGGGGTGGGATACTAGTGATTAGGACCCAGACAGGCCAGGCTTCTCCTGGTTTCATTGCTTCAAGCATCTGACCCTCCGCTACTTAGTGTAACCTCTCTACGCCTTAAATCCTCATTTGCAAAATGGAAAAAATTATGGTATCTTCCCAGCAGGATTCTGTCCTCATTAAGTGAGTGAAAAGCATGCAGAGTGCTGAGCACAAGACTTGGTGCTCGGCAAACTCTCCATAAATCACGGCAGCTTTAGTACGAGGTGACAGAGGTGAGCACTGTGTTCTGTCCTCAAAGGAGCTGCCTGGACTGCATGCAGGATCCCGCCCAGCACTCTCCAGGGCAATGTGGAAAATGAAAATATTGTCTTGTATGAATTTGGGAGCCAAGTTAAAGAATCCTGTGAGTGAACAGGGGCCACCTCCTCCAGCGAAGCTGTTTCCCTAACCCTGAGTACAGCCGGGTGTTAGCCTGGCTCCCACACACCCCCCGCAGGGGTGGCCTCAGTCTTGGGTCAGCACCTCTGTTCTGGGAATTTTCTGCCTTGGCCCATACGACCCTGATCATAACCAGTGAGGTCTCCTCACCAGAGCCACAGCTACCCATGGTGGGAACAAGGAGCAGGCACCCCAAGTTCACATCTGAACCTCTGCTCCCCGAGCCTAGCTTGCCTCACCTGTCAAGTGATGCCTGGCAAATTCACAGGGAGAGCCGTTAGATAGTATAGATGTCCTAGCGAGGGGTGTCTGACATACGGCAATACTCAAATCCTACATCTCTCCCCCAGCATGCAGGTGGGGCCAAGCTGTTCCCCAGGCCAGGTGCTTGGGACCCCAGAGAGGAGGCAATGGGCAGGAGCACTTGGGGGTGCTGGGGCAAGCAGAGGGGTGAAGCAAGGGCGGTGGGGTCTTGTAACCAGACAGTCCGGAAATAGCCCAGTCTGCCACTTACCAGCCCTCTGAGCCTCCACCTCCTGACTCGGGCAGTGGCCATAACTGTGACCACTGGGATTGTCATAAGTGAGTGGTACTTCCAGCCCCCCATGGGGGAAGGCACTTCTGAATGCCCCCTTTGCTTGCCCCTTTTTGGGTGACCAAGGAGAGAACGTGGAGCTCACAGGAAAGCATGGGAGGCTGAGGTTGCCAACTATTACCAGGAGGGCACATCATTGGCAGGGTGAAGGGCAGGATGCCCGGCTATTCTACCTCTCAAAGCCCCCAACTTTAATGTCCTCTTTAGTTACCCTGTTTGGCCAGCTTTTTAGCACTTAATAAAAGGGTCCCCAAATCACAGATGGCCTTTGGTGATTCAGTGTTTCTTATGGGAGCAGTGTTGACAGAATGGGGGAGGCTGTCCCGTGATTTGCAGGGCATCTAGCCGATCTGGCCTTGCCCTTTGATGCCAGCAGCTCCCCCATCACCCACTAGAGCAGATGGGTGGAAAGACAGGGATTTGTCTGCTGTGTTCCTGGAACGGTGCCTGGCATGTACAATGTCCCTCGCTCAGGTAGCATTTCCAAACACTTCCAGAAGGTGCTCCCATTCCCAACTTGAGATCTTGCACTTCAACAACATCCCAGATGAGTAGGGATCAGACCTAGGTCCAAACTTTTCATTATGGATTATGAAATAAATTGCTACCAGGGGGAACCCATTCTCAGGTGGTTCCTTATCCAAGAAAACAACCCTGTCCCCTCTTGGGCCTTGACCTGTTCTGTTAACAAACATATCATGTGAAGTTCAAGACCCAGAATGGAATTGGGTGCTTCCCCCACACGTGGCCTGACCCTCAGAGAACAATGGACTCATCACTTCCGGCCCTGAATAGATGAGGTGTTGACATGGCCTGAGATTGCATTTACTTTTCTTTTGGCAGCCTCGCCAGTGTTTATTGGTTCATAGGCCACTGAAACCAAGGACTGTCCCTTCCATCCTTCCCACCCAAGTATCAGGCATAGGCATTTTAGACAGTCATATCTTTTTACTCTGTGTCCATTTTTCTGGTCTAGGTGATTTTGAGTCCTGAACTGCCATTGTGGTGTGCTAGCTCTCTCCCAGCCCATCCTTGTTTCCAGTTTTGCATCCTTTTCAGATTGGATGGCCAGCCATCTAATGATTAAAATATTGAAGAAGCAAGGCCTTTGGCATGATAATGGAGACTTCAGGCCTGCTTGATAATGATCAATATTTTTGGGGATTGTTTATCTGCCTTTAAGTGGACCCAAATTAATCCCAGCTCCACCCCACATTTCTCTGTCTTGTCTACATGAATATCTTTAAGCCCATCTGTGGAGCTGCCTTGTTGAAATCTAGATTTACTGCATTCCACCAAACTTCAAGGTTTTGGAGAGGGAGATGCACTTAGCTGAGCATGACTTGTGGTTGGTGAACCTGTGCTAGCTTCTAGTGCCCACCACTTCCTCCTGCATGTGCCAAACATTCTGCTGTCCCCAGTTAGACTTCTGGAAGTGTCCAGCTTTGCTTTCTGTGTTTCTTGAATGCGCTTTTTGTCTGCATGAGGATGGGGACAGCTTGTCCTGACATCTTTCCTATCCCTGAGATTCCCCGGAGGTGGCCAGGGGTGGCATTCCAGTGGCACCTTTCTCTGGTCAGCGGCGCAGTTCCCTCTGAAAGCTTCTTCAGGACTCTTCCTGTCTTGGGCTGCCCTCCCTGACCACTGCACTTTCCCCTCACTTGAATCCTTTATTCGAGACAGCAAAAGCTGAGACCAGAGGGAGTGGAGTGGGTCTGCTTTGTCTGCCATCTGTTTAACATCAACACACAGGCCCCGCTATTTCCTTTTTCTCCTGTTTCGAACAGATTTTTTAGTAAACCTTTTGGGTAGACCTTCACCATGGGTTTTGTTTTGTGTTTAGCTCTCCTCTTGGCTTGATTATCTCTAAATGTCCTGGTGATCCCACATGGCATTGACCTGGCCAGCTAGACAGCGGGCCTTCTGAAGGCAGGGCTGAAGGCAGCTGTCTGTCTGCCCACCGACTGCTGCTGAGATGCTTTGGAAATGTGGTGTGGTTTGATGGCCTGTCAGACGAGCATGTCATCATGGAAAATTCTTTATAGAGTCTGCAGATCCATTTACATGGGCCTGCTGCTGCCCCTGCAAACTGCACATTCTTTCGGAACAACCCACCCTTCCCTTTCCCAGCATACTTCAGACACGCGCGGGTGGGTTGCCATCGGGACTTTTCTGCCTCCTGCTACTTCCGCCCCTCATACCCACATTCTTCCGTGATTTTTGGCTTAGTTTCATAGGGCCTTTGGTTCCTAGTCCCAGGAGTAGAGTTCCACCCTTGGGTAGAACTGGAATCCCATACTTAATACAGATCCTGGTCCTCCGTGAACCCTCTTCTGGGGCTAGAGGCAGGATCTGGTTAGGTGGAAACTGGTTTTTGCAGTTTTGAGTTCCTGGACAGATAAGGTCTCTCGTTATCCCCACAATTCCCTCATGACCTCTCACCTGCTATGCATACCTGCTTGAAAGCTCTATGGGGACTAATGATGTGATTTTGACTCACCCCGATAATGTACACACCACCTTCTGATGATCTGATGATCTCTCCTGACCCAGACCTTGAAATTATTCAGCTCAGGGCAGAGAGAGAAAGGGATATAGAGAAAGGAAGGAATGAGGAATCGTAATGGGAGACAATAGAGTCCCTGGATCTGGGAGGAGGCCAGCTGATATTTATGCTCCTGGAAGACAGATGTAGGGGGGATTGAGAGCTGGCCTCAGCAGGTATCCTGACAGTGGGGTGTGAATGTTGTATGGGGAGGGCTCCCTCCTGAGCAGTAGAGTACTTCTGTGGAGGGCTTCAAGTGGCATAGGGGTTCTCCGATGTATCTGTATCACATCTGCCTTTGAGAGGCAAATGAGTCCAGTGTGGTGGTTCTAGAGTATGCTCCCTGGGCCAGAAGCCTCTGTTTCCTGGGAACTTGATGGAAATGTACCTTTTTCAGGCCCTTCCCCAGACCTGCTGAATCAGAAGCTCTTGGAGTGAGGCCCAACAGTCTGTGTTTAAGAAGCTTTCCAAGTGGTTTCTATTACGAGCTAGTAAGTTTAAAGAGCACAGTGACTCAGTCAGAGAATGAACTTTGAAGCCAGATTGCCTGGGTTTTTGTATCCTTACCAGCTATGTGACCTTGGGTAAATCACTTAACCTCTTTGATTGCAGAATGTTTTATCATCAATAAAATGTAGCAAGTGCCACTTGTTAGTGTGATGGTTGAATGAGAATCTATAAGGAATTTAACAGTAAGTTCTGTCAATTACAAAGCATCTGTGAGTCTGGCCTCTGAATGTCATTGTCTTTCTTTTTAGGTAGTTTCTGATGCTGCAGGACAGGGCGTGGCCATCACAGGGAATCAGACCTTCAACAACTGGAACTGGCCCAATGCAATGATTTTTGCAGCCACAGTCATCACCACCATTGGTAAGTCTTCTAGGACCTTCCAGAAACCCACTTCCCTGCCTTATCTATACGGAACCTGAGAGGAGCCCAGCTGTGGTCACATGGCCTTATTGGGGGCAAAACCAGACCATTTGGAGTCTCTTCTTTTGGCAATTTCCTGGGGATTTAGCAGGACTTTGGTGACTGGCCATACCTGATAGACTGTCTTTGGGAGTCCAGACGTGGGCTCTTGGGACAGAAAAGACACAGCCTGACAGCCAGAGCATGTAGGAGGTTGAATAGGTTGCTGACTGTACAAACCCAGCTTCAGTTGCTCACCAAGCTGCCTGTCTACTCTGATTATCCACGGCGGCACCAGCCACTCCATATGTCACTATCAACCCCATTCTGTGGGTTGACTGGGTTCAGCTGGGTTCTTCTTGAGTTCTCTGGGGGAGTGGTCCTCATGGTGGCTGTGGCCAGAGTCATCAGAAAGCCCAGCCCAAGATAATCTTTTTCTATCATGTTTGATCCATGAGGCTGACTGTTGGCTCAACCAGGTATGAAACAGATGCTTGGGTATCTCAGTGTGGTAGCTGGTTTCCTCAAGGAGACTCCCAAAAGATCAGAGGGAGAAACAGCAGGCCTCTTAGGCCCAGCCTACCCAGCATCACATCATTTAGCCTGTGGACAAACAAGTTGCTAAAGCCCAGATTCGAGGGGGCGGGGGAGATTTGGATGCCACCTTGACATCGTGAGCAGCAGATGCTTACATAAGAGGAGAAGGAATTAGGAGTGATTCTTAAGAATGAGCTAGAGGAAGGCCTGTTTATAGTAGAGGCTTGGTGCTCCTCAGGGAGCTCCCAGTCTGATGGAGGAGACATACCCTTCCATCATAATTGTATGTAAATGATTATGATTATAATGTGATCAAGGAAATACTGTTTCCTAAGAATTCATATTAGATCAGTTACTGATGTACTGTAGAGAATTGGTCTGTTCAAGCTGGGGGTGTGGGGAGGGTGGGATACAGGGAGAGACCACTCTGAGTCTGGGTCCATCAGCCAGCTGTGGCTCTGTCCTTGACCTCACTCCCTTACTCTTTAGGTTATGGCAACGTGGCCCCTAAGACCCCAGCTGGGCGCCTCTTCTGCATCTTCTACGGTCTCTTTGGGGTGCCTCTCTGTCTAACGTGGATCAGCGCCCTGGGAAAGTTCTTCGGGGGACGAGCCAAGAGGCTAGGCCAGTTCCTCACCGGGAGAGGCGTGAGCCTGGTATGTCCACAACCCTAGAAACTGGACAGAGGTGGGGGACCCTGGCATGTGATGGGAGGGTGGGAAGGATCCCAGAATTAGAGATACTAGGACAGATGACAAGATGGCAGTGACAGCCCTCCTTGGTGGTATGCTGCCCAGCTGGCCTGCACCCGGGCTACCTCCCTGGGTCCTCCTATGGGTTTCCCCCATCTCCCCAATGTCTGATTTGGTCTCCCCATCCATCACTCTTTCAGCGGAAGGCACAGATCACATGCACAGCCATCTTCATCCTGTGGGGCGTCCTGGTCCACCTGGTGATCCCACCCTTCGTGTTCATGGTGACCGAGGAGTGGAACTACATCGAGGGCCTCTACTACTCCTTCATCACCATCTCCACCATTGGCTTTGGTGACTTTGTGGCTGGTGAGTCCTGCCTGCAGCCCCACCTTCTCTTTCTCTGCCTTTCCTCCAGTTTCGCTTCAGCTGGCCTGCATGAGGCGGGGCAAATAGGCATCCATGCCCTGGACACTGCCCCTCTACTGCCCCCTGTCAGTTACAAGAGCAGATGAAGGCCCGAGGTAATTGCTGGAGACTTGTATTTCCCTTTCTTGGGATGCACTCCTTCGCCCCCTTTCGTGTCTTCAGTATTGGGTTTTCCCTCACCTCCCTCTGCTCCCCTGTCTCCTAAGCTAATAGTCACTGGCAACTGGGTTAGGGGCTTCCACCTGCAGGGTTTGTACCCTGCCCCAGCCATGGCTACCAGGGTCCTCATTACATGGCCTGAGGGCGCTGCCCTAGAGGCTTGGCTCAGAGGCCCAGAACTCTGCTCTTACCACAGTCAGCCAAAAGACAAGGGAGGCCTTCTTTCACACTGCCCTGCCTCCTTGTGCTGGACACGCCTTCCACTCATCTCCATAATCCACACTGGCGTTAAGTTTCTTTGGTCCCTTTGTCCATCCCCAGGCACTCATGTATTTGGGGCTGTGGCCTGAACGACGTCTTGGTTCTTAATCTTCTTGACACCCCATTTGGCTGCCTTGAACCTGGTGTTTGTTCCCTCCTTGCCTGCTGCACTGCCCAGTTGACCTCTGTCTCTGCTCCAGGGGCCTCTGGTCTCCCCCCCTGCCTTTTCCCAAGAGGCAGGAGTATAGGTCACTACACTTTTGCCCCATTGTTGGTTGACATGCCAAATACTGGGATGGGCCAGCTGAGTGGGTCATAGCAACAGGAAAGACAGGCCTGAAGACTCCACTGACCCTGGCAGCTCTGGGCCTGCTGTATTGGGAGATAAGTTAGAGTAGGGGCACAGCCTGCCACTGTTGGGAGACCCTGAGCAGCCTAAGGAGAAGGCTTTATACAGCAATGAATGTCATGGTACTTTCTGAGCTCCACTAGACATTGACCCTCTGCCTCGGGGGGTAAAATTGGTTTTGGAAAACAAAAACTAATAGCCCCTACCTCACAGGGTAGTCAAATGAGTGTTGAGGATAAGGTGTTGCCGTTTTGTGCCCACTTTTGACCGTGAGCCTGGAGAAGATTGGCAGCATCTCCTGTCTCGGGGGTGAGACTCAGCCCCTGCCTGCAGAGAACACTGATCTGATGGGGGAGGTATAGTCTTTACCTGGAAAGAGTGCGCCTCTGGGAGGAAGACCCCTTCAGTCTCTTTTCTGAGTTACTCCCAGGTTAGAGGGTAGACTGGATATACAGAATATAGTTGCCCAGGAGGATCAAGTTACCAAGAAATCTCCACTAATTGGAGGAGTACGAGAGTACTCAGAGCTGTGGAGTGGCTGGGGAGGGGCCTGGAGTAGGCTGAGGCTCCAAGGCCACCCAAAGAGCCAGACTGAGGGGGAGCAGAAAGAAGGTCAGAGGTAGGTGAGCCTCTCTGGAGAATAGAGGCAGCTCACTATTCTTCTTGGCAGGATCACGGCCCACAAGCATCTCAGGCCAGCCATGGCCTCATTCACATTAAAAGCAATGAGTCCATCCCCAGCAATAAGGATCTCCTGATCCTGTTAAGTACAAGATAAACACTATAGAGTGCACCAGGGAGCATGGTGTACTGGAAGGAATAGGTGAAGAGCAAATGTTGTTGAACTACTGCTTGACCTAAGAGTTGGTTCTGTTTCCAGCTCCCCCTCCTTGAACTTCCCTCACCCTAAGGGACTATACTCCTGACCTGACATTTAAGGAAACTGAGGCTCAGAGGCAGGTTGGGTACCGGGGTAGGGACATGAGTGACTGGGCCAAGGTGCTTAGGGATGGATGACCGTCCAGGTTCCAGAAACACCTTTCCTTCGCGGTGTCTTTCCTTCTGTGTTCAGGTGCCATGCCCACTCTCAGACAGCACTGCTTTGGCTTTGGGTGTTGCCGGGTGCCTACTGACCTTTCCTGACCCTGGGCTTCCTGTCCTGTCCACAGGTGTGAACCCCGGCGCCAACTACCATGCCTTGTACCGCTACTTTGTGGAGCTCTGGATCTACCTGGGGCTGGCCTGGCTGTCCCTCTTTGTCAACTGGAAGGTGAGCATGTTTGTGGAGGTCCACAAGGCCATCAAGAAGCGGCGGCGGCGGCGCAAGGAGTCCTTCGAGAGTTCTCCCCACTCCAGGAAGGCCCTGCAGATGGGGACCCCAACATCCAAGGACATCAACATCCTCAGCTTTCTGTCCAAAAAAGAGGAGACCTACAATGACCTCATCAAGCAGATTGGGAAGAAGGCAATGAAGACAAGCGTGGGTGGGGAGAGTGTCCCAGGACTGGGATTGGGACCTCAAGGGGGCGGGCTGCCAGGCATCCCCCCATCCCTGGCCCCACTGGTGGAATACTCCAATAGCCGGGTGCCCAGCTTGGAAGAGGTGTCTCAGACACTAAGGAACAAGGGTCATGTGTCACGGCCCCTCAGTGAGGAGGCCAGCACAAAGCCCCCTGAGGATGGATCCGCCAGTCCCGAGGAGGGCACTAACCAGCTGGACCGCATCAGCGAGGAGGGCGAGCCATGGGACGCCCAGGACTACCACCCGCTCATCTCCCAGGACACCAGCATCACCTTTGTGAGCGAGGAGACCGGCCTCTTGGACGAGGACACCTCCAAGTCCTCGCTGGAGGACAACCTGGCCGGGGAGGAGAGGCCTCAGGAGGAGACCGAGACCGAGGCTCCCCTGAACCTGGGGGAGATCCCCTCATCCGACGAGTCCACCTTCACCAGCACTGAGTCTGAGCTCTCTGTGCCTTACGAGCAGCTTATGAACGAGTACAATAAGACAAACAGCCCCAAAGGCACATGAGTGGGGGCCGGCTCCCCGCCCCACCTCTGATGGCTGCTGTTCCCCTCATCCTGGAGTGCCCTACTATGGCCCTGGGGAAGAGGAGTGGCCCTAGACCTGGGAGTGGGGGGCCAGGAGCCTGCCTCACCTTCCATCCCTTCCAACTAGATGCTACCGGTCAAACACTGCACACCCAGGACAGGGCCTCTGTTCTCCATTGGGACGGACATCCCGGCAGTGGAGGCATCTGTCCTGAGTACGGTTGGTATAGCTGACGGTTCAGAGATATGGGCTGGCAGACTAATCCTCCAGGAGCCCTGTACCTGTGTGGGTCTTCGGCCCATCATCTGGTTGAGAATGTCACACGGTTGCCTAGGCCAGAGCTTTGGCCCTTTGAGGTCACCAGTATTAAGGAGTTCTGGCAGTGAGCTAGGTGTTTTGGGGAGAGGAAGGAGTGTGTGAGACGTGGTCCTGCCTTTGCAGGAGACACAGTTGTGGTGTGGGGGGGCCTGGCACTTGGCACCCAGCAGTAGCAGCCCCATCCCATCCCCCTCCCTGCCTATCCAGCCCCTACTGTGGATCTCAGTAAGGGTGAGATCCCCTGGGGGAAGGGAATACAGAGATAACGGGCCAGTGGGCGCTGAAACACTCCTGGTACATAGGATCAGAACCTGTCCAAGTGTGGCCTGGGCTCCTAGTTCTTGATTTTCTGGGACCCAGCCCAGCCTGGAGAAGCAGCTCAGTTTCCCACCACAGACACCCCTCGGCCCTTCAGTGGTAGATGCAGGAAGTAGGAGAAAGAGGATCGCAGATCATGGCTACTGGGACTGGGGCTCCCAGAGCTGTGGGTAGCCAAGAAGCTGCAGGTGTGGGCTGGGCTCTGGATGCTTCTGCCCTTGCCCTCCCTGTGCTGCCAGCCACCTCCTTCCCTACTGCTCCCAGGACCAAGACCTCAGTGTTCCGCCCCTCCCAGTCTCTCCCGGCGGTGCCTTGGCTCCCAAGTGGAGAATGGCCAAATATGTGAATGTGTAAATCAGATACTGTTTGGAGAGAGAAAGAGTGTGTGTGTGAGAGAGAGAGAGAGAGAGAGAGAAAGAGCGGGAGAGCATGCACGTGGCACATACACAGACTGGGAGGGCAAAAAGGAGGGAGAGAGGAAGGATTTGTGATGGGGTGGAACAAAAACATAATGTGAAACTGTACAGAATTTTATGGTGAGGGGCTGCATACCCTAGGGCTGGCCCACTCTGCCCTGTGTGTTTTGTTTTGTTATTTTAAAAATAAACTGCTGTTTTATATACCTAGCATTTGTTGTCTTCAGAGCCAGAGGGAAAGAAGGTGAAAGAACAGAGTCCATTGATTGGGCTCTCTGTGGATCACTCCCCCCCCCCCCCCCCCCCCCCCCGCCTCCAACTCAACTGGACCTTTCTCGGTGGGGAGGGGCATTGTTGCAGGCGACTAGATGCTGGGTGGGAGGTGTGAGATCACCCTTGACCCCTCAGCCCCTCCCCAAGATGAGGCCAAATGGGCCAGAACCCCACCTACCCCCAGTATGTGAAGAGGGTGATGGGGGTGTGTCTGCTCCACTGATCCTGTAACCAAGGGGTATGATGGCCTAGCAGGGGTGACAAGGAGCTGCCTTCTATTTTTCTGTGAAATATTTTAATGAGCTCATCTTAATGCCTCACCCCCACTCTGCAGGGGTGTCCCTGCCTGCCCTGGAGTGGCACACACTGTATGTACATACTGGCAATGATGTCAAGTGTAATTTATTTTAACATTTTTACAATAAAACAGGAGATGGACAGGCTGGCCTGGTGTCTGCTTTGCGGGGGGCAGTGCTGGGAGGATTGAGGACAGCCTGAAAGGTCAAAAGAATTGGGGTGCCCTGGAAGGGAGAAAATAAAAAGGTGAGGTAGAGGGTCAGGCTACTTAAAGTGAGGTGGTCAGGATAGGCACCTGGAGATAGTAAACAGGTCTGAGTGAGGATGGAGAGGAACAATCCAGAATCAGTCAGGAGGAAGGGGGACAAGAACAAACTTTTTGTCCCTAGTTTGCCGGGCCACATTTACATGCTTTCCACTCAACAATACACAAATTCATTTGATTTTGCAATGACCCTGTGAGGTGGGCATCACATCCCCATTTTAGAGACAAGGAAGCAGGCACAGAGTTGACCTATACAAGAGCCCAGGAAATGTTCAACCTGCATTCATGGTAGGCACCCCACTGCTGTGCCTGTTCCCACAGCTGTGACGTGATGAGCATAGCAGTGCTTTGTGGAATGTTCGACAGGGAAGAGAACTGAGGACACCGCACCTGAGCACAAGGGTTGGGCACCAGACCGCAAAAGACAGTGAGAGAAGGGTCAGCCAAGCTCGGCACCTATCATCATCCATTGAAAGAGGGAGGGATTGTCATGCTCCAGAGGCTCAATTCTTGAGACTGGTTAGCCTCTTATAGGACAGACAGACACCGGGCCCCTTCCTAGCACCACCTGGGAAAACTTTTGGGAAAAACTTTAAGGAGTGAACCACATTTTTGTGAGGGCACATGTGTAATCACAAAGGCTCATCTGTTGAAAATCCCAACCAGTTCTAGAGCTCCTTGATAGCATCCGTCCCTCTGCCAATACATCCCAGGCAACAGAGAGATCCATCACCACCTGGACTCTCCATTTGTTCAATGAATGTTCTTTGAGAACCTACCATGTACCTACCAGGCTCTGTTCTGGGCACTTGGAAAACTACTTAGTGAAATGGACAAAAATGCCTGCATCCATGGAGCCTAGATCTGGTTTCCCTTGCTCTCATTTCTGGTGATTTTTCATGATCTGTGCTTGGTACTGTGTCCTGCCCATATCCCCCCAGGCTCTTTTAAATCTCATCTATTTGTGCCTCTTAGTCTTCACAATGGATATCATTAGCCCCATTTTTTTTTTTTTAGATTTATTTTTTATTTATACAAATGCTGGGGTACAGGCCAGATGTGCGGGAGGGTGAGAGGATTCACCAGAGAGAGAGTGGGGAACAGAACAGGCAGACTAATACACTGCTGAGGGGAGCAGCAGTCACGACAGGAGAGGTCTGCCGTGCCATGTGGGATTCTCGCCAGCCGGGCAGGATTGAACAGGCACTACAGAGGCTGCGTGCAGCTTCACAGCGCTGTGCTCAACCGCCTGTGCCACCAGGGAAGCCCCTCATTAGCCCCATTTTATAAACCAAGAAATTGAAAGAAATGTAAGACTTGTCATCAACAAGTATAAAGTGGCAGAAAACAGCCTCACTGACGTGCATTCCTCAGTCTGCCCCCTGGAAGTCCCTAATGTGATGGGGAGAGGCAAAGACCCACAGTCTGATGGAGACACTTCCTCAGAGTACAATCCAGAGAGGGAGGAGCACAAAATAGGGACGCAAGCACAAACCCTTTGTCCCATCCAGGCCTCGCTGACCTCCCACATGATCCTGGAGCAGCCACACAGTTCCATGCCAAGACTGATAAAAAGAAACCCGGATGTTTGGGTTTCACCCTGGTACTGGAAAGGGCCAGCCGAGATTATCCTTAGCCACCAATGCATTGAAACTTGCTTGACCCCAGAGCCAAGTGAGGGGGAAGGAAGAAAGATCTCTGGGAGTGGCTGCCCTTCTGTGGGACCCTGATGTTTAGGCTCTGCCCTGCCTATCAACTGTCCACTCCTGAAGTAATGGGTCCCCAATTTCCAAGGTTATACCCAACCAGGAAAGAGCTGTCAGTGTGTGAGTTGCTAGGATGTGTTTGTGCAGCTCAGTGGGAGGGCCTCCCTGAAGTTCTGTCCCAGTCACTAGGCTCCCTCTCCTGGATCCCTACAACAGCACAGCACCTGGCACCAGGTTGGGGCTTCACGGATGTTTGTAAAGTGAATGAAGGAGCCCTATCGCGGGTCTCCCTTGTCTATTTCAAATGGCCATCACTACAAACAGCTGAGATGTATCCCAAATTCAAACCTGACTCTTTATATCCTGCTTCAATTCCTCAAGGGCTGCCAATGCTCTTCCCAGCCCCTGCCTCTCTCCCATCTCATCTCCTCCCCTCCTCCACAACAGCAAAGTCTCAAATGTGCGGTTCCTCGGTTTTTGCATGGCTCTCCTCTCTCCTGCATAACCCCCTAGTGACACTGTGATGGTTGTTTCTTGCTTTTCTTTATCTGGCAAGAACAGCAGTGCAGACTTGGAACAATGGGACAAAAATACCCCAACCCATTTTATTTTTTTATTTTTTTGGAAAGATTTATTTATTTATACAAGCACTGGGTACAGTCAGAAGTGCGGGAGGGTGAGAGGATGCGCCAGAGCCAGAGCTGGGAACAGAACAGGCAGACTGACGAAGTACACTGCTGAGGGGAGCAGTGGGCGTGGGTGGGAGAGGTCTGCGAGCTATGTGGGACCCTCGCCCGGTGGCCGGGATCAAACCGGCGCTGCAGAGGCTGCGGGCAACTTCACAACCCAGCGCTCAACCGCTGTGCCACTGGGGAGGCTCCCAACCCATTTTAAACAAGGAAGACAAAACCCCCAATCTTTCATCAGTTGACAAGCTGTGTTTCAGAGCATAGGCCCGGAAGAGGATTCACTGTCGAGGTGACATCTCATTGCCTGGAGAAATAGCCATGGAAGATGGAACTAAAATGCCTGAGTCTTGGTTAGGGGACAACATTGAGAAGCAAGGGATGCTCACTCTGTTGCAGTTCTGGTTGCAAATTCAAGCTACATCATGAGTTTGCAGAACGCAACTGATCAATCTACTAACTTGTATTTTCTATATTCTTGCAGCCCATAAATACTGCCCAAAGCCCCATCCTCCGGGAGACTAAGAGCCTTGCCTCCTGTCTCCTGACAGGTGCCCTGACATTAAACTGACTTTTCTCAAAAGTTGGTGGCATGGTCTCTGGCTTCCATGCCGATGGGCCCACATTGGGCAGCACCAGGACCTGTGGGATTAAAGGTAGACATCAGCTTCTCTGGTAATAGTTCCACAATTACTTGCCCACCTCCCAGATTCAGGTCACAAGTTCCTCAGTGCCCAAAGCCCTTCCCTTAGCAAGCTGACTGCCTCAGTACCATTCCAAGTTGCTTGTCTCTTGGTGTCCCCATCCCATGACTGGGAGTCTGAGGGAGCAGGGAGTGACTTTGACTTCCCACAGCTTTCAGTGTGGGGAAGGCTTCAGGTTTCCTGTATTCCTGGGGAGACACCAGATCAGGAGGCAAAGCTTGTTCCACCGGGGTGAGTCCCAACAGCCTGGTGGATGCTCTTGAGGGACTTGCCACAAGATGCAGTGTCCTGGTGAGTCACTCAATAATGCCAAGTCACCTGAATGTGGTGACAAAGCAGGACAGGGACACAACTTAACTCATTTCTCCCCACCTCGGGGAGTACATCTGGAAGGCCCTTGCCTTCTGGAGTCTCCCCACAAGCCTCTCTCTTCACCACTCATCACCACCAAGGCCACAATGTCCCGTCTGGCCACACTTCCTGGCCACTGGGGGGCTGGGCCTCCACCCCCAGCAGCCCCAAATACCCATGCTTCCTTGGGGAACACATCTGCTCGCAGTGACCCCTCGCCTCAGTTCCAGTCACTGACAAAGCCCTATCACAGCCATTCCTTGTGATTGCACAACAGACCTAGGAGCCAGGTGTGGTATTTTATAGCCCAATTTAGGGTTTTTTTTTCCAAATGAGGAAACTTGAATGTCTTAGCTTGGCTTCCCTGACCTGGTTGATGGTTGGAGGTAATAGCGGGAAGGGAGGGGCAGATAAAGATGGAGAAAGAGGAAAAGGCAATAAAAGGGTATTGTTGAGTCAGTTTTGCAATAGTGGGCAATTGGGGTCAACCCTGCTGGGGAACTCCAGAAAAATCTATAGAATACACCTCACAATTGTCCTTCTTAATCAGAGAACTGCGCTTATCCACAGGGATGGCCTCAGGGCATTAATCCCCACCTCCTGCCACGCAGGCTGGGTGGGGCTGACTGTATCTCTTAGTCCTTGTTCTTGGCAAAGTGACCTTGTTCCTCCCCAGTCAGGGCTGCAGTCTATTTCCCTTGCATGTGGGCTGGCCCTGCGACTGATTGGATGACTTGAATACTGTGGAATTACCCACTATGACTGCTTGCTTTCCTTCCTTCTCTCTCTCTCTTTCTTTCTTTCTTTCTTTCTTTCTTTCTTTCTTTCTTTCTTCTTTCTTTCTTTCTTTTTCTTTCTTTCTTTTTTCTTTCTTTCTCTTCTTTTCTTCTTTTTTTCTTTCTTTCTTTCTTTCTTTCTCTTCTTTCTTTCTTTTCTTTCTTTCTTTCTCTCTTTTCTCTCTCTCCTCTCTCTCTCTCTCTCTCTCTCTTTCCTTCCTTCCTTC